GGGGGGGGGCGCTATCCCTTCAGTTCGTCGCACGTCTACCTGACCACAGCTTCTAACGCGAAGCGGCAAGTCGGTCAAGATAAACCCCCGCATGACTAAAGAGCACCAGAGCTTTGCATTAGAGCTTGTGATGAAATACTAAAAACCAGAAAGGAAAGAAAAGAACAAGAAAGTTAAAAGAAAGAAAGTTAAAGGTTTCGCTTATGTAACAACAATATGATCGGATAGCAGTTTGTTTACCACATTTACCTATGAGACATCTTAAAAATGTTGAAAGCTTCCTTGACTCAATAAGCTAACTTCCTGGATTAGCCTGGCTCGGAATTTGTCTGCGTTCTCAAAATTCGTTAGATTACATCACGTTAAGAAGGAACATGAAAAAAACAACCTACTCAGCCGAGCTCAGAGGAAGAAGTTGTGAATAAAGGCTCTAAATAATTACTCGATCACTGAAAATCCCTGGACAAAAGGGACTTAGGAGCCTCTGAGCTTCTATTCTCTCATCGTCAGAAATATAATTCTAATTTGAGTTGACAAGTGGGAACAATTCAAATTAAAAGGTAGGAGATGCCTCCTTCTAACAATTATATGTCAGTGCTTCTGCAAAGAAAAGATAATGTTGACTCCTCATGTGGGCTGCTAACTCCATTAAGCCCTTTCAGAGTGCAGCGTCAAGCATCTCCAACGCGAGAGCGTCAACGCTATTGCGTGAACCAGTGACGCTAGTGTGTCAGCAGATGGCGCTTGAAGCTCGTAGGCCTCGTCAGCGTCCATGTCAAAAAAACCGAGTAAAAAACATTAAGTTCGGATCTGGTCGAGAGCGGCGCCGCCAGCAAAGTCTAGCGTTGACGCATGAACCATTCGTAAACACACTTGCACAGATGGGACATCAATCGGTGATTACCCACTGACGCCCTCCTTTGAGAGAAGTCATTGATTCTTCTATTCTCTCAGCTCATGAATAGGTTGACAAACGCCGGAGTGTGATAATAAGTCACGACAAGATAAAAAAGGAATGTTAAAAGTGATAAAAAAGGAATGTCAAAAGGGATAGTTATAGAAGTGATACAACTGAGAAAATGGGTAGCATGTTTGTCTGACAAGAAACAAGAAGTAATTAAGGTGTCTCGTATTGTCTGCTGTCACTCGAGGATCTTGAATGATCCCCATGTCGCTCGCCACCTTCTTCTCCACTGTTGAATCAAGCTGCTCTTCAATAGCTTGCATCCGAGTGACGGGAAATATCCGTGAAGCGATTCAAGGACGTCTCAAACCAAAGCCCTTCAGCCATTCTGTAGCAGCCGTGCTAGCTACCCGGAGCTATCCCATCCCCCAAGTCAGAGGCTGGCCAGCTACTCGTGGGTACCCCTATGCTGAAATCAGTGATAAATATAGGCCTCTTGCCCTGAATCCAGGACAATGCCCATTACGGCAGTTTAAGTAGGACCGCTCGGGAGAGGATGCCAAAATCTCAGATCCAAAACAATACCAAAGGAAAAGGACTAAGATGGCAATATGTACTTTGATGCGCGAACGGTTTAATCGAGCCTGCATTGAAGATCTGATGATGCAAGCTAGGAAGATCAAGTACGACACCATCGGACTGACCGAGAAGAGGTGTCATCACTCGCTGCAGGCTGCACTTGAGATTGGAAAAGAACTGCTCCTTGGAACCATGCGACAGTAGAGGCGTCGACGGCGTTGGTGTCCCCGCCATTACGGACTTGGCCATGAACATCGTTTCGTACAAAAGCTTGACAACACGATTCGGACGTTTGCGATTGCGTGAGAAAGTGTGGCTTAACCCCAGCGCTAACAATCTTCATTGCATACGTCCAAAGTCGGGAAAGAAAAGGAGTTGGAAGCGTTTACTTGGATCTGGTCACCAGACTCGAATACTCAGACTCTTCAGAGAAGGCCTCAGTTCCTTCAGGATCATCGTCGGTGAATTCAACGCTGAATTTGGCACAAAAGAATTCCTGAAGAGCTTCATATTGGAACTCGCGGGACGGACTGGAATGAACAAAGTTAAAGACTGTCCGGGTTTATCATATCGACCCACACTATCCATGGTACTCGCAAATTCTCTCGAGAAGAAACCCTCTCGTTTCCGATGGCTCGAGACCTTGTAGACAGCTCCATAATGAAAACAACCTCGACAATTTCAATCGGTAGTTTTGTCAGACTGACGCCTCTGTTGTCCCGAAGACCTACATGGGATCAGACCGTCGTCTCCTCCGCTCTAGATTCTGCTTTTCATTGCTTAGAAAGAGAGCTGCGAAGGGAGGAAACAAAACCCCAGACTGTTGTCAACTCAGATCTCCTAGCTTCATTCGCGAGTTTGCAGCAAGATACAGTATCGACAACATCGAAGAAGAATACAACCGGCTAGTCGAACATCTACACGGTAGGGTCAGGAAAGCAGATAGTCTACAAGATGCCGAGGAACGTCTCTTTTTGGAAACTCTCGAGCTGATACGTCAGCGTGGAATGGCGCGAACTGCAGGCAATAACCAGCTAACATCCGAGCATGCGAAGCTATGCAGAGAAGCAATAGGACTAAATCAGAACATCTATAGAGTCTTCCACCAGTTATCGTCAAAACTCTGACTCAGGATTCACGCAATACCTGTCGGAATGCACAGTAACCACGTAGTGGAAAATTAACAAGTCTGTCTTGCTGTATAAGAAGGGATATCTCGCCGATAGTGGCAGTTGTCGCTAGATCTGCCTGCTCACACATCACCCTTAACAGGATTGGCAGAATATTAGTTGAAGGACAGCCATACGAGCAAGCAAGCTTTCGGAGAGAGTTGAGTACAATGAATCATCTCGACACTCTTACAAGATACATTGAAATATCGCGAGAGTACAAAATGCCGTTATGTCTCATGTTCATCAATTTCACCGTCGAGACAAAAGCGGTCATCGAAGCCTCGGCAACCAGGGTGTTCATACTCAATATGTAAGGATGCTTCCTAAGGTCTACAACGTCTTCACGACCAGGACCTCACTATTCTATAAGGAAGTCGTCATCAACGTAAAGAGAGGGGTTCGATAAAGCGATATCATTTGTCCAAACTGTTCAGCGCCGTTCTCGAGAACATCACGCGTCATATGGAATGGGAAGGCAAGGGAGTGAAGGCTGCTGCTTTCATCATCTCCGCTTTGCAGACAATACCGTGCTTCTGGCACTGATCCAGCGGGCGAAACGAATGCCGGCCGTGTTTGAAAATGCTTGTTGAAAGCCCGGCTAACAACTGATTCAACGATGACGATGTTCAAAAACGAAACTGTTGCGAAACGGATTGTTACCTGAAGCTCCTTTCACGCTATAACTCTGAATGCTCTAGCTACGTATATCTAGGTCTGAAAGTCAATATGATAATCAACCTAGCACTGTATCTGAGCAGAGGGAAACGCTTGACGTAGGAAGCATTGAAGAACATCGAGTAATAAAGTCCGGGACGTGCTGTGGAAAGAACGATGTTCAGGTTCTCATTATACACTCAAATGCAGAAGGAAGAAATTTGAGCTCTGTTAACGAACGTTGATCAGGGATGCCGATGCTTACGCCAAGAAATCGAGGATCGAATGTGCCGGCCACCTTATGCGTTATCGTGCTGAGCGTCGAATCAGGACCGTAACTGACTGGATCCCACGTTATTCAAACGAACACCAGGGCGGCCGCCAGCGCCATAGTCAGATTTCTTCACGAAAGCTTTGACCGATATGGATACTATTCCTTGTGTCCCTCGAGCAAGGGCAATCCATTGGGCAGTTCTGAGACGCTCGCAACAGGGACGTTACTGGCCCCCGCTCGAAAAAATCGATGATCAACAGGACGGCAGCTAATAGAGAAATGATATCTTGATGTCTTGGGTGTTTTCTGACGCCTCGGCCAAGGTGTAATAATTTTTATTGGGCTAACGTTTCGGCATAGTGATCTAGTAGTCATAGCATCGTCGCATAGTGCCTACACTTTTTTCTCGAGTCGAAGCCCCATCTTGCTATTGCTGTTGCCCTGAACGTAGCTTTTTTTTAATGATTTATGGCGTACTGCATTACTTCAATGAAATTTTCACTATAGGATAATAATAAGGCACGGCAATAAGTAACGATTGCGTGAGCTGTAAGGATTCCAATTCTTTGAGTTGCATTNCATCAATGTTTTCTAGTAACTTATCATGTCCAAAAAAACAGTACGTGTACGCTTTCCACCTGTATCTGGTTCTCTGGTGATTGTTTACTACTGCCTACTTCTGTTCTTCTCCGTTCGAATTCACGGGGGCAGTTTCGCTCATAATGAGAAGCTTAGTGACAATATGTCATTGGAGTGGAAAAAATTTCTTAGAAATATGTTTGTTATTTTCCTCCATTGCCATTTACCTAATTCACAGTAATCTAGGCTGTACTCACAAGTCTCAACTGAAGAATTACTCGAAAATGCAATCGTCCTCAGTTATTGTTGAACAAGAGAGGCTGGATCGATTCTATTCTACAATTTATATTGTATATACTGTATTGGGAATGATTTTGAATGGTTTTTTACTGTTTCTTATTATCTTCCACAAACAAGAAGCTATCCAACGGTACCGTATTCTGCTAGGGAATACTACATGCACATTACTGTTGCTATCTATCTTAACGTTTTTCATACAACCACGGTGAGTTTTTTAGGGGCATCCGTGTTTTCCGTTTTTCCCTTTTTTTCAGAAACTACATATTTTGTGTGACCTTTAAGAGTCACCATCACGAAAATCACAGCTGATTAGGAAATGACTGTAGGGGAGCTAGGTGGGTGGGGGGAAGGAAGGGGGATGGGGG